CTTCCTTCCTTCCTATTTGCAACTTTCCAACTCACCTCTTGTCAATTGCAAGCTCTGCAAACCTGCAACCTTCCTTAGAGGGCCAAGTTTAGGCAATGCAAAAAAGAAAAGAAAAGGAAAAGGCTTTTTTGGAGGGTTGTTGTTGTTTTTCTTTCCTCTTTGCTGGTGCTGTTTCCTCCCAGACAAACCAAGAGGGGAGGACAGGAAAAGGAAAGACACCAAAGCACCCATATCCGGCTATGTCTAGGCACCAAAATCCTGGCAGTGTTTTTAACCCCCTCCAGTGAGAAGGGAAGGGAAGAGCAGGTTTTGTGTTTTGCAGAGAGCATTAAGTGCATGCATCTGCACTGCAGAATTAATGGCTGCAAAATTAATGCACTTGGAAATTAGTGCATTGCGAAATTAATGCACTGCAAAATTAATGCACTTGGAGAATTAGTGCATTGCAGAATTAATGCTCTGCAAAATTAATGCACTTGCAGAATTAGTGCATTGCAGAATTAGTGCACTGCAGAATTAATGCACTGCAAAAATAATGCACTTGCAGAATTAATGCACTTGGAAAATTAGTACACTGCAGAATTAATACACTGCAAAATTAATGCACTTGGAGAATTAATGCATTGCAGAATTAATGCACTGCAAAATTAAAGCACTTGCAGAATTAATGCACTTGGAGCATTAGTGCACTGCAGAATTAATGCACTGCAAAATTAAAGCACTTGCAGAATTAATGCACTTGGAAAATTAGTGCACTGCATAGTTAATGCACTGCAAAATTAATGCACCAGAATTAATGCACTTGGAAAATTAGTGCACTGCAGAATTAATGCACTGCAAAATTAATGCACTTTCAGAATTAATGCAGCTTTAACTGCCCTGGCTCCATGCAATTTGTTGTTAGTTGTGGCACCAGAGCTCTCTGGCAGAGAGGGCTAAATGTCTCACCAAACTACAGATCCCAGAAACCCATAGCATGGAGCCCTGGCAGTTAAATTGCATTAATTCTGCAACCTTTAAGTCTCCCAGAATAAGATGCTCAATGCTGTGGAGTTCTGGGATGTGTGGCTTTTGAGAAAACATGTAACCATCTCTGTCAGAGAGCTCTGCCACCCCAACAAACTACAAATCCCAGGATTCCATAGGAGGGAGTGACAGCACCATTTGTGGGCTGGCTTAGGCTGATGGGAGCTCCACTCCAACATGTAGAAAGGCCACATGTGGCTCAGGAGGAGAGGCAAAAAGAGAGGCTACAGTCGGTAATACTGGGAGTTGTAGTCCAAGATCATCTGGTGGGCCCCATGATCCCTAGCCCTGTTTTATAGACATTGCTCGGTTTTATTCTGGTTGCATCCATACTGCAGAAATAATCTAGTTCGACACTGCTTTAACTGCCACATTTCAGTGCTATGGGATTCTGGGATTTGTAGTTTGTCTTTGGCACCAGAGCTCTCTGACAAAGACAGCTAAGTACCTCACAAGACTACAGATCCCAGAATTTCCATAGCACTTCCGCCCTAGTGTGGCTAGCTTGGCCTTGTCCTTGCTCTCTTTCTGCAAGCATCATCATCATCATCATCATCTGAAACATTTTATTTCAGAAACGTGATGCATTTTAATAGTCTGCTTTTTAAATTCTTTATTAACAGTCACTTTATGTATATCCTACCTTTCTAATGGTTTTAACTTTGTTAAAACAAACAATTGTAACTATTGTTTAATTGTTGTTACAATTATACTTCTTTTTGATGTCTCTGGATAATTTTTAATCTATATAGCTTGTAATAAATCGTAAGCCACTTTGAGTCCCGTTATTGGAAAAAGGTAGCATATAAATAGTAATAGTACATTGAGAGCCAGATGGCCTAGTGGTTTGAGTGTTGGACTACGACTCTGGAGGCCAGGGTTCAAATCCTGGCTCAGCCATGTAAAGCCACTGGGTGACCTTGGGCAAGTCACACTCTCTCAGCCTCAGAGGAAGGCAATGGCAAACCTCCTCTGAACAAATCTTGCCAAGAAAACCCAATGATAGGTTCCCCTTAGGATCACCGTAAGTCGGAAATGACTTGAAGACACACAACCCACTCTTCTTCTTTGGTCAGAGCTCACCTGGAATATTGTGTCCAGTTCTGGACAGCACCATTCAAAAGGCATATTGACATGCTGGAAGGTGTCCACAGGATGACCACAGATCTGAGCATCCACAGCTTTAAAATATTTTTAAACTATATAAACTAAAAAA